TGAGCCATCACTGACCTCCGCCTGTGCGGGGCGGCACTCACTCCTCCTGGAGTCAGTCAGCGCCCTCTCATTACGGGCGGCAGTTCCTCCCATTGGGCGGCTTGCCACTCCTCCCTGCTCAATGGGAAACCCGATCCCTCCGCCCGGTGCCAGCCTGGGAATCGCTGCACTGAGGTTAAGGAGCCCAGAATGCTGGGAGGAGGTGGGAAGAGGTTCGTGAGTGACTAGCAACCCTTCCACACCGTGATCCCAAGTTACTAACCCCCCTCAGGAACGCACTCCCCTCTAGCCAGAACGAAGAGGGGGGGTCGCAAACCCATCAGTTAAGCACTATGCTGAGGAAAGACATGGTGACTGGGACATGGACAGGGGAAGAGCCATGAACTGGATTCTTGGTGCGTTTTAGGATGACGGCACAGGTGGATTTCCTTTCCCTGGGGCAGACAGGTTAAGGTAGAATAATAAGAAGTTATAACTTGAACTCCAGAGCAAGCTCAAAGCATTTTGCAATGCATGAGTGAAGCCTCACAACTCACGAGGTGGATTAGTATTGTGGGGAAACTGAGGCACAGAGTGGTTCGGGCCAATATGTTCGAAAAGAGTCATTGATTTCTGGCTCCGTTTTTGGGACCCTGACTTGAGACACTGAAGGCCTGACGTTCACAGGCGCTGAGCCCCTGCGGCGAGCCGACACTGACTAGAGCAGCGACTCCCCTGCCTTTTCATTGCTCCAAGTCGGTTCTTTAATACACCTTGAACTCTGCTCCTAAAGAGACAAGAACAAAGCAAAAACCTCCCTGAGAACTGAGCTGAACTCAGGGGGAGCTGAGCTGGGTCTCTGTGGCAGACTTGCTATTGCATGGCTATCTGTCACATCAGCGTCGCTGAATACATCCGGATTCTTGATTCCTGGCAGATCCCCTATTGTCAGTCATCCTAGTTACACTGGAAGAAACCCCACTGGAGCCTGGGGTCAGGACTGGCAGGTGACCTTGCTTCAGTGGGGGATCTGGCCGGGAGGCAACGGGCCACATTACCAAGAGTTTTCCCTGGGATCTTCTTAGCTAGAGCTGGTGGGAAATGATTTCCCCATCCCATAAGAACTTTTGAGATGCCAAAAAAATTTCCAATCCCAAAGTGGGACGAAAAAATTCATCTTGAAAATTTTCTCAAACCAAAATCTGGAACAACAAAATGGAATCAGGTCACTTGCACCTGAAAAATGGAAGTTTTGAAGTGGAAAACACCCCCTCCCCCCAAAGTGTTGGAAATGGGAAATTCGTCGACATCGGCCCTTTCCCAGGAACATTTCGGTTTCGATGAAGTGGTGGTTAGAGATGGAAAACCTTATCGTCGAAAAATTCCTGCGCTCCGGGCACTAGTGGAACGAACCCTCCCTTGCTACTCCCGCTGACTCCAGCCCAGGTGGTTCCGGTTGACTTGTCAAGGACGTTTTGAATAGCGACTGTAAATCTTTCCTGTGTTGTTGCCTGGGTGGGGCGGGGAGGAGGGACAGCGACTGGTGCAGTGGTACCGAGCCAGTGCAAGTACAGAGGCTGGGAGGCAGATTCCTGCAGAACTCCGGAGGCGGCAGCGGTCCTGAGACGCACACAGGTGAGTCCTGTAGTGCTCTGAGCAGGGGGCCTCTGAGCGTACCAAATCCCTGGAAAGGAGGCTGTTACTGCTCAGCGTGGCCAGGGCTGGGCTGCAGTGCACTCTCTTAAACACTGATACAGCCATATCGCACTGCCCTGTGATCTTATCTGAGCTCCCAGGCAAAGCAGGACTGGGCTCTGTCGGTACATAAGAAGGCTCCAAAGTGGAGAAGGATCGGCATGGGGAAGGACTAGATTTAGGACTCAGGAGATCTGGCAACCTGGGCTGAGTCACTTTGTCTGTCCAGGCTCTGTTTCCCCATCTGTAAAGGGAGGATAATACGGCTCCCTTCCTTGGGGGGGCTGCGGGATAAACCCAGTCACAGTGGTGAGCGCCCAGAACAGACAACAAATGAAACTGATCTTGCTGCTGGTTTGTTAGGAGAGGCTCTTTCCTCCTTGGAGCCAATAACGAAGCAAAATCTGGCCTGGTTACGGGCTGGTGGAGGTGCTGCTGTTCCCTCGCGGCCAAGGCTACGACTCCTCGCTTTCACTGAAGATGCTCTGGAACTTTTCCCAGGGTGCTGCTGACCCGGTGCCCTGGCCTAAGTCCAGCCTGGCCAATGAGTGAGTTGAAAGGTGCGAGGTGATAGTATCCGGGCAAGGACTGCGAGGGGTCCCTGTTAGCAGTCCGTGCTCATCGGGATAGTCACTGGCAAGTGACGCAACTAATGGCCATTTGTCACATCTCTGACACTGGGTACGCGTCTGTCCCTGAAAAGCGGAGAGGAGCGGGGAGGAGGCACCTGAAAACTCTGGGGGGTTTTTTGGGTTTTTTTTTTGCAGATAACTTAGAAATTAGCTGATAGGAATTAGATACAGGGGTCCTATCTTAAAAAAAAGAGGATTTAATAAATATTAGACCCACTCAGCTCTAATACTAACATGTTCTCACATCTTGTGTCAAGTCACTTAAGTAACACTGGTTAGGTTTAAAATTTTAATGTCTATTCTTTGTTACTAACTGAATACAACAATCGGAACAATTGTAGAAAAATCTAGATGACTTTCTATCACTTCTTTTGCAGTTCACCAAGCTTGGAATAGATCATTTAACTTTGGAAACATCCTACTAGAGCAAAGCCCCATGAGTTTATACTGTGCTTGCCTGGGGCTCTAGAGGCGTTACCTCACTACAAATAATAGACTAGAGACTAACCTTAAACAGGAGCAAAACTGACACGTTTATTTATACCTGCCTCTGGAAATGTCCATGACATGCGGCTGACGAAGTGGGTATTCACCCACGAAAGCTCATGCTCCAATACATCTGTTAGGCCTTGGCTACACTGGCGCTGTACAGCGCTGCAACTTGCTGCGCTCAGGGGTGTGAAAAAACACCTCCCTGAGCGCAGCGAGTGCAGCGCTGCAAAGCGCCAATGTAATCAGTGCCTGCAGCGCTGCACGCTACTCCCCTCGGAGAGGTGGAGTATATACAGCGCTGTGAGAGCTCTCTCGCAACGCTGGCGGCGCGACTACGCTCGTACTTCACGGCGCAGCCGCGGCTGCGCTGTGAAGTCCCGAGTGTAGCCAAGCCCTTAGTCTTTAAGGTGCCACCGGACTCTTTGTTGCTTTTGACACTTTCAAGTCACTTTCCCAGTATTGCCAATCCCCAATGTTCAAAAATCATGAATCAGGCTCACCAAAAATCATGACATTGGCTTTAAAATCCATGAGATTATGTAAAAATAACAGATTTGGGGTTCTTTTTATTTGCCTTCTGCTTTTTTGAGCCTTTAGGGTGCACTGGAGTCACATTTTGAAGCTTTCTCCGCAGCCACGAGGACTAGAAACTTCATTTTTCTGTAAGAATGAAGGCTGAAATCATCACATATCCACATGACTCCAGGAGCTGGGGCTTTAAAGAAAACAATTATCACGAGACTCATGATGCCAACTCTCGTGATTTTAACACTGCTTTTACTTCTGTTTAAAGGCTAGTTCCTTTCCAGAAAGCTCTTAAACACAACACCGCCGTGACTGAGTTGCAGTTCTCACAGGAGAATATTTAAAACCAAACACCAAGAAAATTCTGTATTTTAAAGTTGAGAAAAAAACTGAGACTTCTGAGGTACATCAGGGCCACTGCAGGCAGGAAAGGAAAATAAAGAGGCACAGGATCTCTGGGCAGCTCTTCCTTTAGAAAGAAAGTTGGAGGGTCAAATCTTCTAGTCCTTAATCAAAACTTCTATTGCCATCAACACCTCCACTCATAGATCTAAACATCACAAGTGACCATGTGATAACATGTGAGGTCAATAACTATACACTTCC